CTGTGTGTGTGTGTCGGGGGGTGGTGAGTAATCTTGCCCTCCCTCTAGAAATCAATTGTGCTGCTCATACTTCACTGAATGTTTTTGATTTCCTGTTAATCCCAGTGGGTGTAATTTCCACTCTTGATCAATCGAGGCTGCTGCTGGCCCTCTCACAAGAGGAGACCAGTGAAATATAGAAGAAACCCTGCCTGCACCTCCATGCAACTTCTTCCCAATCTTTGCAACTGTCATTTCTCACCCCAAATATTGTAGGAGCCTCCAGACTGTTTCTGGCCTTGCCCCCCTACAGTCTATGCGTAAAACAGTTGCCAGAGTGTTCCTTTGATAACATGAGTCAACGGATGTCTCCTCTTCCTAATTACCTCCCTTAGCTTCTCCCGTCTCTTGGAGTGAAAACCGAGCTTCAGATAATGGCCAACTATGCCTATGTGGTCTCTTCCCAGCCCCTTCTCTGCCTGTGCCCTGTCGCCCTCTCCCTTTCTCACTCTGCCCTGGTCACACTGGCCTCCTTGGTGGCTCTCAGTCACATTGGGCACTGTCTTACCCCAGAGCCCTTCCACTTACTGTCCCTCATGCCTTGCTCCTTCACTGAATTCGGGTCGATGCTTAAGTGTCACCTGTTTATTTTTCGAGGCCTTCCTGACCACACCGCCTAAGGTGGCACCTCCATTGCACCCCTGGATTCACTGATCCCTCTTTCCTGCTTTATTTTTCTCTATCTCCTCCGAAGACTACCTTTCACTCATTAATCACAGTTATCGTTCGTCTCCTCCTTTGAGAATGGAAGCTCCAGGAGGGCAGGGATTCTCCCTGCTTTCCTCCCTGTCGTACCCCAGCGTTTGGCACGTCGGAAGCACCCAGCTGGGTGAGCAGCTGGAAGCTCCTGTTGGTTTGCTCCAGACCAATGGTTCTGGACATTCTTTGTGAATGTCTTTGATGTTACTCTAAGGCAGCAGCATGTAGTGGTCTAAGAAGCTCTCCTTTTTCTGGCCTAGTTTCATCTGAAAATATGTTCAGCTTTTCCTTCTCCGTTTAGAGACATGCGCTTAGGAAAGGAGCTGAGGAACATCTGGGGTTAAGCAAATACTGAGGGCGAAATGACTCCTGAAACAATGTGTTGCGATGTCCAGGGAGATGTGTTTCGGCACCACGTTGAGAGAAGCAGGGTACACATGAGTTCTTACTCAATACCCAAGAAGGAAGCCAAAACCCTGCCTTTTTTCTTTCGAATTCTCACGAAGCTGTCAGCTAATATTATTATCTTTATTTTAAACATGAACAAACGAGAGTTCACGGCCAACTGACGTACCCAAAGGTGGTGAGCAGCAGAACCAGAAACTGAACTCCGATTGTTCCTAAGGCCACACTCTTTGCCCTATACCTGTTCTGGAGAAATGACGTAGAGGAGAAGAAGGGGCCCTAAGCTTGAAGTCGGGATCCAGAAGGACATGTCCCTTTCACTGTTTGAATCCTGGGTATTGCATTTTATCCACTCGTGACCAGTTCCCCTTTGGAAAGATTTTCTTCAAGGTTGGGAACATAAAGGGGTCTGTAGTCAATCTTAATTAAAATAGGCTATTCATTTCACTTAGCTCTTCTCTGGTCCCCACACTCTCTGCTCAAGGGTCCTGATTACTCAGGCACCACACTGCTGTCTTTTATGTGTAAATTAACTATTGGACAGATTATTAAATTGTCTTTGAAATGTTTGACTCTAAACCTTTCTTGCCTCCACCCGGGTGTCCATGTAGAGTAACAGAAAGAGTTCTTCCTTTATCCCTCACCCAAAGATGTGGTGAGTGTGTGGGGGTCAGTTTGTAAACCTGTACAGAGCCCCTGTTTAAAAATAAAAATGTATTTACTACAAGGTAACTATGATCACAATCAGGTTTGGAGGTTCATTTCTAAAGCCACGTTTAGCCAAAATTATTGGTACTTAAGTATCCACACTGATAAGCTGGAAAAACTCCAATACAGAAATTGCATGTCAAACTAGAGAGTTAATTATTAGCAAACCGATTCAAATGGGAAAGAGTTCAAAGAATCTGGCTGGGTCTTCTCAGCCAGACTTCCCTCACATTTAAAAGGTATACTTTTCTTTTCATTATATGGGTGATATTATAAGACTTTTGGCAAATAAATAGAAGTTATGCATAATCTCATCATAACTCTTTTGATGCATTTCACTCTAGTCTTTTTCTTTTTTTTGGCCTGGGCATAATGTTTTAAAACATTTTTTAATTATCACATACCTATATACATCATAAGTATTTTCACAAGGGGTTGTCTTGTAACCTTGTAAAGAGATAAAGTGAGCTTTTCATTATAAAAGCAATAAATGTTGTTTTAGAAAAGTTGCTCTATGATAAAAATAAAAATAGGAGAAGGAAAATCACTCCTGTGCCCATTACCTGGAGACCACCACTGTTCACATCATGCAATAGCCACTGACACTTTATTTTCCCTAAGGTGGTGGTGTCACTTGTTTTTAAATAGTTGTATCACCTCCACTGAGTGGTTATACTAGTCCGCTTAACCATTCCCCTATTGTGCAAATTTAGTTTGTTTACACATTTTGGTAAAAAATTTCCCCATAAGTTAGGTCTCTAGAATAGTAAAAGTTGTTTGGGGTACAGATTGTCTTATGGCTGTTGCCAGGGGTGCTGTGGGTGGTGAGCCCCAACAGCCTATGGTCAGCCTCCCAGCCCGCCCTGCCCCTTCCACCCTCTCGCCCCCACACCTCTGCCCTCCCTTAGTCAGCAGGTGAGCTTGCCAGAGGCGTGGCCCGTCCTGGCTATTGGCCCCCTGTGCTCTCTACTCTCCGTGAGTAAATAGCAGGTGGAACTCACCCCCTCTCTTCCTTTCTGAACCAAGAAGGATCACTGTGTTCTTTTCTGTGTTTAGGAAGTTACCTCTGTTTGCCTAGAAAGCTTCAAAGCAACTGCTCTCCCTCTGCCTTCCCTCCTCCCCGCTCTCTCTCTCTGGCCCATGTCCTCACGTTGGGTAACCTGGCGTCACAGGCAGGGCTGTGTTCTCTGTAGCTGGTGTCCTCAGATCATCGCCGTGACTCTAAGTTAGAAAAAAATGGGCCCCTGTCTCCCACCGTTTTTGGCGAAGCCCCTTCATCTCTGATCTCATTCTTTCCAGCTCCTTTAACCTTCTCAAAGGATTGTGGGGAAGATCACAGAAAATAATTCTAAACTGTGCATTACTTTCAAAGTGAACATGTATTGATATGGTTATGATTCATGTTCTCGTGACCCACGTGCCGCGCACCATCCAGGGGAAAAATTCACTTCTTGAATGACAAAGTTGATGAATTTTGTTTTTTAAAGTTGTTGAGTTTATTCAAGTGAAATATTATTTTTTCTGTCTATTTAAGTGTTTGGGGTAACCCCAGTTATGTGTGTATTTTAATATAGGGCAGAGGCGTCCCCTTGGTTGTCCCCACAATCAGTGGCAGTATCAGTGAAACCGCAGACTTTCTAAATAAGTAGCAGGTGACTTGTCACGCATTAAAATTTGAGGGCCAATTTAAGCAAATGAATCTTTTTTTAAATGACAATACCGTAATAGCTAAAATTTCACCAGCTAAAGACATTGAATATGAGTAGGTATAGCAAGTAATTATTACTTTTTGGCATTTAATAAAAGCAGCTGGTACATGACTCCCCCCTTCTCAACGAGCCTCATGTGTCCACCCTGTGACACACTGCCATCTGCCCTGACTCGACCCCAGGACCGCCTGTCCCCTTCGCCCTGCTCTGCTTGTATTTTTTCCCTTAGTTGTTATCATTATAAAATAATATATAAATTAGTTCTTTTTTATGTGTGTCATTTATCTCCCTATAACTTGAATGGTTGCTTTTATAAAGGGAAGTGTCTTTGTTTCCCTTCGCTGATGTATCCCAACCACCTAGAAGAGTATCTGTGCCTGGCAGATGCTACACACACATTTATTGCATATTTAAATAAAAAGCAATTACACAAAAACATGAGCAGTAATTATACTAAATAACTGTTACCAAGCATTTACCAGGTACCTGGCGGTGTACATATACCATTTCATCCAATGTTCCCAACACAGTTATGAAGCAGGTGTCCCTTGATATCATCAACTACAGATGTGGAAACTGAGGTTAGAGACAAATTGTTTCGGGTCTCATCGCCAATATAATCGAGGACTTGGATTTAAACCCAATAAGCCTGACTCCTGTGGGCCCTGTTCAAGAAGAAAAATGTTGCCTCTATATTATCTATCTACTGAGATATTATTATTGCAATTCTTTGGGATTTCATTTGAGAAAGGGGCTTTTTCCTATGGAAGTATTTTTGGCAAACACTCTCCTAGACATTTGAACCAAATCAACAGCGTATGGTTGCAAACCCTAGGCCTTCAGCAGATTTCCACGTGGTTAAATTCTGCCCCATTGGAACTGTATCCCCACCTTTTGCCGTTTGTTATTGAGTTTTGCAAAAAAAAAAAAAGGTAAACAACTTGTGTAACTTTAAGGACTTTGTTCGACTCCAATTTAAAAAACTCTACTCCCCATCCATCTGCATTTCGCTGTGTTGCGTGTTTTGCTCTGGTTTTGTGTGTTTGGTCCACGTGAATGCCAGTGACTGTCCCCCTCACATGCCCAATCCTGTTTTCTAGGAGAATGACATAAACCTGACCCACATTGAGTCCAGACCCTCGCGTTTAAAGAAGGATGAATATGAAATCTTCACCAGTCTGGATAAGAGCAGCATGCCCACCCTGGCCAACATCATTAAGATCTTGAAGTACGAGGTCGGTGCCACCGTGCATGAGCTCTCCCGGGAGAAGAAGAAAGACGCAGGTGAGAAAGGGAGGAATTTTGCCGCCCCAGCGACTCTCCATCTGTTGGTAAAATAATGGCAAAAAAATAATATCTACCCTGGAAGACCATCAGGGGATTAGCAAGAGGATGTAGGTTAGGGGCCTAGATGAGTGTCTAGCATAGGTTAGACGTTTAATGAATGTGAGTTACTTCCCTCCTTCCTCAGGATAGCGATTTCTTATATTAGTTGTTTTCTTTCTGTTGCTGCTGTCTTTATATATGTTTCATTCTTGCATTGTCATGCTCTCGATCTCCCGTCTCCAGAGGTGGGATGGTTGGGGTGTCCAGGGTGCTTTCTTTGTAAACACAGTTTCAAGACAAATTCCATGGTTCTCTCCATTCCAACCAGAGGGCTGTCCCCATGTTCCTCTCATAGTATTGATTCTGTAGCTGGGGACTGCCTGCCCCCTTGTCCTAGGGCTTTCAGTTGTTATTGTCACCTCTTTATCTGTCTCTTCCATGAGATTACAAGCTTCCTATAGGTAAGGGGAGTCTTTTATATTTATGTCCTACGAGGTTAGCCCAGTGCTTAGAACACAGGTGCTGAGCAAATATTTGGGAGCGAATGATTAAATCGAGGCATTGTCAAGACTTGACCTGCCTCCCTGTTGACTTGCTGAAGTGCTGTCCATTGATGTCCCCCGAACAATAAGGCAAAAAAGTGGGGCAGTGAAGTGTAGGTGTCACAAGTATAGGTTGGGGTTGAACAAACTTCAGTTCAAGACTGACCTCTTCCCCTTAATGACTTTGAGACCCCTGACAAGTCCCTTTCACTGCTCTGACCTCAGTTTTTCATAGGGCTTTTGTGAGGGGTAAATGAGATCATACATATACACAGCTTAGACTGCCTGTCTGGATAAATGATAGTCTGTGGTTGTTGTTACCATTACAGTTTTCCTTAATAGAATACACAGGAACAATGTGATTGCTTTTTAGGATACAAAGCATGTGCAGATAAACTATTTTAAATAAACTTTTAATTTTTTAAAGCAGTTTCAGGCTTACAGAAAAATTGTCTGAAAGTACAGAGTTCACACACGCTCTCTTTTCCCTCCCCCTACCCCACCCCAGTTTCTTTTTTTTTTAAATTATTTATTTATCATTTATTTATTAAAATTTCTCTTTATTGTTGAAAGTATTGCAAATGTCCCCCTTTTTCCATTCATTCCCCTCCCTCCTGAAACCCCCCCCAGGCCTTCACCACACTATTGTCTCTGTCCATGGGTTATGCATATATGCATATAAATTCTTAGGTTAATCTCTCCCCACCCACCCACCTATCCCTGCCTTCCCTCCAAGAATCGTCACTCTGTTTCATGCTGCTATGTCTCTGGATCTATTTTGTTCTTTGGTTTATTTTGTTCATTAGATTCCACATATGAGTAAGATCATGAGATACTTGTCTGACTGGCTTGTTTCACTTAGCATAATACTCTCCAGGTCCCACCATGCTGTCTCAAAGGGAAAAGGATCCTTCTTTTTTACAGCTGGTGTAAATGTGCTAGAAGATGCTTGATATGATTCCAATCTTCTTGAACTTGTAGAGACTTGTTTTGTGTCCTAACGTGTGGTCTGTCTTTAAGAATGTCCCATGTGCACTTGAGGAGAATGTATATTCTGCAGCTTTGGGGTGAACTTTTCTGTAATGTCAATTAAATCCATCTGATCTAGTGTGTCATTTAGAGTCACTGTTTCCTTGTTGATTTTTTTGTCTGGAAGATCTATCCAGTAAAGTAATTGGGGTGTTAAAGTCCCCTACTGTGACTGTATTGCTGTCGATTGCTCCTTTAAAGTCTTCCAGAAGTTTTTTGTTTTTTTTTAGCCTGTGTGAGTCTTTTGTTCTGTGGTGGGTCTCTTGTAGACAGCATATATTTAAGTCTTATTTTCTTATCCATTCAGCTACCCTATGTCCTTTGATTGGAGTATTTAATCCATTTGTATTTAAGGTTATTACTGATAGGTACTTATCTATTGCCATTTTATTTCTATATGCCTATGTGTCTCATTCTCTCTATTTCAACTTCTTATTACAGCAGCCCCTTTAACATTTCTTGCAATGCTGGTTTGGTGGGAATAAATTTCTTTAGTCTTTTTTAGCTGAGAAGCTCTTTATTTCACCATCTATTTTGAATGATAGCCTTGTTAGGTAGAGTATTCTTGGTTTCAGATCCTTGCTTTTCATTATCTTGGTTACTTCATGCCATTCCCTTTTGACCTGTAGAGTTTCTGATGAGAAATCATCTGACAGCCTTATGGGAGCTCCTTTGTAGGTAACAGGTTGCTTTTCTCTTGCTGCCCTTAAGATTCTCTCTTTATCTTGAATTTTTGGCATTTTAATTATGATGTGTCTGGGTGTAGGCCTCTTTGGTTCTTCTTTCTTGGGACAAACTGTGCCTCCTGAACTTGTATGATTTTTCCTTGACTAGTTTAGGGAAGTTTTCTTCCGTTATTTCTTCAGAAAGGTTCCCTAACCCTTGCTTACTTTCTACATTTTCTGGCTATCCTATGATGCGAATATTGTTACATTTCATGTTGTCCCACAGCTCCCTTAAACTGTCCTCTTTTTTAAAATTGTTTTTTCTTTTCCGTTCTCTGATTGAGTTATTTTTTCTACCCTTTTTACTAATTCGATGATCCAATTCTCAGCTTCTCCTAATCTGCTGTTTATTCCTTCCAATGTTGTTTTAATTTTTATTATGTCATTCTTAATTTCCTTCATAGTTTTCATTTCTTTTCTCATGCTGTTGAGCATCCTTATGATCAGCATTCTGAACTCTATATCTGATAGAATTCTTATCTTCATTTCATTTAGCTCTTCTTCTGGAGAATTCTTTTGTTCTTTCACTTAAGGCTTGTTTTTTGTCTCCTTATTTTGGCTGCCTGGTTGTATTTGTTTTTATGTATTAGGTAGATCTGCTAGGATTCCCAGTCTTTTGGACTGGGAGTCCCAGTCTCTGGTGCAGGCCAATGTCAGACACTGTTTGTGACTAGCCTTGAGTACCCTGTTTGAAGTTTTTTTACTCCACAGCTTGTGGTTTCCTCTGCTGGGGTTGGGTGTGTTTGGACAGGACCAAGATGTGCACCAAAGTCTGCTTTTCCAAGCTCTGGGTCCAGAAGCAAACCAGGCAAAGACTGAAAGCACCCAGAGGCTGATTGTTATTCAGTTTTTTAATGAGCCTCAGGCTGTGGAAACTCCACAAGGTAGGGCAGCTGATTTTTATCAGTCTCTTAATGAACCTCAGGCTGTAGAAACTCCACAAGGTGGGGCAAGAGGTTTTCCAGCAGGCAATTGGAGCAATTGCTTACCCCCAACCCCAGGCAAAAGCTGCTTGGAAGGTAAATGTCTGTCTGAGAAAGAGGTCCTCTGCTGTATGGGGGAATGACTCAGCACAGGAATCCAGATGGCCACCCTCTGAGCCCCACTCCTCCTGCCATCACCCCTAGATTCTCCTCACACAGCTCTAGTCCACTCTGCTCTCCAACTGCCGGGGCTCAAGGTGAGTGGCTGCACATGAAACTTTGTGTGTTGGCTCTTTAAGAGGGTGCCTGCATTTCCAGACATCTCTCCCTGGCAGACAGAAACCCCGTTGCTTTTCACAGCCAGATGTCATATGGGCACCTTTCTCAGTTCTGGTGCTCTGGGATGGGGAACTCAGCTAGGGGTTTAGACCCCAGAGTTCTCAGTGGGAACCTCCCACAGCTGAGATCTCCCTCTGGAACTTCAGCTGCTGCCTGTGGGAGCCCTGTTGCACCTCCACACTTCCTATTGTATCACTATACAATAGTCTCAATGTGATCTCCACTTTAGGTCCTTGGTTATGAGGGTGCTGTCCAGCTCGTCTTCAGTTGCAGTTGATTATTCAGGATGGTTTTTCTATATTTTAGTTGTAATTCCAGTTTGGTCCTGGGAGAGTGTCAGTATAGCTTCCATTCAGTCCACCACCATCTTGGAAATTCCCTGTTGTCTTCTTAACATCTTGCATTAGTGTGCTACGTTTTTAATAATTGATGAGCCATCGTGATACAATATTATTCACTGATGTCCATAGTTTACATTAGAGATCATGCTTTGTATTGTCCAGGTCTTTGGGTTTTGACAAATGCTGACACAGTAATTGATAGTGGTGGATAATGTTATGTATCTATCATTAAAGTCTCATGCAGAGGGGTTAACTGCCCTCCAAATGCCCTGTGCTCCACTGATTCATCTTTCATTCCTTACTTGGTCCCTCTGAAAACGACTGATCTTTTTACTGTCTCCATAGTTTTGACTTTTCCAGAATATCATATAGTTAGCGTCAGAGCATGTAGCCTTTTTAGACTAGTTTCTTTCACTTAACAGCATACATTTAATTTCTTCATGTCTTTTTGTGACTCAATGGCTTATTTCCTTTTAGTGTTGAATAAAGTCCCATTGTATGGATATACCACATTTAGTTTATCCATTCATCTACCAAAGGACATTTTGACTGCTTCCAAATCATGGTGATTATGAATAAAGGTGTTATAAACTTTCATGCGTAGATTTTCGTGTGGACCTGAGTTTTCAGCTCATTTGGATAAATACTTAAGAGTACAATTGATGAGATGAACTATTTTTTCCTAAATAATTAAAAATTTTTCTATTGTAAAATCAGAAGTTTTTTTGTAAAAACACTGAAGACTTTAAGTCAAGAGGATTTCAGGCTCTGCGGCTGAAAATAGCATTTTCACAGGCAAAGATGCTTTAAAATGAGACAAGATCCACCTCTTAGCACAGGCCGCTGACACAGTTTCTGAAAGATACCTCCAAGGCCTTGCTAGGAGATCTCTCTTCTTTCTTTGCCCTTCTCCTCCTGTGGCTACCATGCAGACAAGGAAGGCCATCCAGGGCTCTTCCCTTTCCCAGGGTCAACAGCCAGCTCATGGGCTCAGGTCTCTGGGGGTAGGCACTTGGAATTTCTCCTCTGATCAACCCTGTCTGCCTCCCTCCCCCTTCC